AATAAAATAAAATAAAGATAAGGGCAGACTAACCACATCACTGGGTAGTTGTATGACTACACAGCATCACTGTACAAAAAACATCACATACAGCTCTAGACATAGACTAAATGTTCAATCAAAGTGACCTTTATTTTTTATCCATATGGCCTATTCTCAATAGATGAATGTTTCAAGGTAATAGTTCACATTTCCAAAGAAATTAAATTCAAAACCATATCTGATATAGGTCTGTACTTTTTCAGAACTGGTGAGCCACCAGTTCTTCCTTTTTCAGGCCTTTTTTGGGCCTGGATTTTGTTCTAAGTCTTAGTTAACTTTAGAGCTGTGAGTAAACCACCTTGATTTCCATAGTTGGAATTTCTACCTTCCTGTGGAGGATCATGTCATCTGTGCTCACTAGGCCATTTGATGACCTGTCCTTTAGGGGCATTAACCAGGTCCTCCATACAGAGGCTGCAGAGTCCTCTCCCTCTGTGTGTATGTTGAGAATTACAGCCATGATGTCTTCCCAATGCCCCCCCTGGTGAATGTGTCAGCAGACCCGGATATAATTGATAGAAGCAGCCAGCAAAAGCACATCCTGCAAAGGCTTTGACTCCCATGGGCATCTTAGACAGTCTTAACCAGTTTCCAAAAGTGCTAATATGGAGAGTATTTATTTATTTATCCTTTGACTGGGAACTTGGAAGGGATCTTCATGTGCACCCCAGGAAACCCACAGTGTGACATTCCATCTCTGTGGATGAGAACATGTCCCTCTGCCGGTGTTATCCACAATCCTGATTGTAAGCAACAGTCTGCAGGATATTAAACTGAGGTTTATCTTTGAGTGACTGGAGTTATTTTTGTTTTTGTCAGCCTGGGTCATTGTGATGAATGCTAAGACACTGGCGGGAATAAGGCTTTTATTATAATTCGAGGGTGAGGATGGCTTTGACTGACCTTTCTTCTGCTGGAGTTGCAGTGTTTTAGTATGTGCCGCTTGTGCTGGAAAGAATTTATAATCACAGGCTGTCAAAGACAGCCATTGTTCTCACTGCTCCGAACATGTGGGTCAGCCCCAAGCGCTCTGGGCTCCCTCAGCGCCAGGAGCTGGCTGAGAGCAAAAGCATGCCTGGATTCTTTGGAGGCATCAGGAAAAGCATTTTGCATATTTTTCATTGCTTTTTTTTTTTTTTTTAACATTTTGCCTCTGAAGGACAGCTCCCTTTCAGAGCAGGAATTTCCCTCCAAGGTAGCAGGGGATGGAAATACGCTGCTCCAGGATTGTACAGAGCTGATGCTGCTGCAAAAACAAATGCTGCCTACATCTACCAGATAGCAGGAGCAGTTGCCCAGCTAAGCTAGGGGCTTGGTCCCCGACAGACATGCAGCCATGGATTCGGAAAGACAAGTCCAGGTTAAGGTTTTGCTATTTGGGTTTTGCCGCTGCTTTGGTTTTAATCCTTACATTCTTATAAATCCAAACTTTGTGACCCTTTTCTTCCCCCTCTTTTTTTGAACATTGAGGTGTATGATTTTTGAGCATTGTTTCTAATGTTGTACATGATTTTCAGGTTAAGAAAATGTGGCTGAGAAAGGTTAAGGGACTTGTCAGTGCTTGTGGCTCCCATAGCTGGTTCCCACAGCCTTTCCATGCTAATTTGGTGTGCAGGAGTTTTGGAAACCATGTTCATACTCTTGTAGGCTCTGTGTCTGTTGCGGTGATGTTTGTAATTCTTTTGCTTTGTTTTGGAGCAGGAGACTGATGACATTGAGAGTCCTAAGCGCAGTATCCGAGACAGTGGCTACATTGATTGCTGGGATTCCGAGCGCAGTGACTCCCTCTCCCCTCCTCGCCATGGCAGGGATGATTCCTTCGACAGCCTGGACTCCTTTGGCTCCCGCTCCCGGCAGACACCTTCACCAGATGTAGTGCTCAGGGGAAGCAGTGATGGTAGGTTGGAGTCACCATAACTCGCAAATGTTAGAATTAATCATTAATAAGGATTTCATGGCTGCTGGGAAAGTAAGCTATGTATCCACCTTGCTGGAAGCCAGTACTTCTCTAAGCTGGTGGAAAAAAGTCTTTGAATGTTGGTTTTATGGTTCTGAGAATCTTGGCTGTCTTTGCCAGCAGTTTATTTGAGCACCGCACAAGTGAGCCTATCTTCTGTTGGAAAATGTGTTACATCATTTCTCCCCTGGCCTCAGGGAGTCAAGACACTGTGCAGACCATTAGCTCATAAAGTGTACTAAAGTTTATATACTCAGGGTATGAGAAAGGGAAATGTTTTAGTGAGTCCCGCACTGTCTAAGTGAAAGCGGACCAACTTCCAGCAAACAGGAAATGTATCACATATGCTTAGGAAAGTTCCAAAGCTTGGGCTTGCATAGCTTCCAGTGGCATATTTTTACCAATCTAGTTGATATTTCTGGTTCCTGGCTGGCTGGCTGGCACACTGCATGTGCCCACTAATGTGTTGTGCACAACCCAAGCTGCCTGTTTGCCCTGAGGCTGGATTTGATTTAAATCCCATGAATTTTATATCACCTGTATGGAATGATCATTTTTCATTATAAAACTGTGTGGTCCTGTAACTTGATATAAATTTAGTGCCTGCCTTCTAGAGGCTACTTGCCTTAGTTATCTTGCACCTTTGTGTTTGTAGAAAGCGAATGTGGCTTGACCTGACTTTGCATGAACTTTGCAGAAAGACACCAAGGCTAGTGGAAGCTTAGTTGCTTCTATTTTTTATGTATTGCTTGATTGGTAGTATTGTCTGGACTTATGCATACTCTCCAAGCAGGCTAAAAGGCCCCTTTTGTCTATAAAATTATATGATTAGGATACTTAAGTATTTAAAGTACCAGCTTTGTCAGTGCATTACTCAGCATACAGTATCTTGTTCAATCCTCAATACAGATTTGGAGAGCCATAGAATCTCACTCAGTTCTCTCACAGAGCTGTGAGCTCTCCTTCTTATCCTTAGTTTACAAATGAGCCTTTAAAACATAAAGTAACTGCCCCAATGTTTGTGAGTGCCAAAAATCACTGTCAATAAAATGGTCTCATAATATTAGCCTCAAAGAGTTTGAGTCCAAAACTTATTATGCTCTTAAGCGTAATTTATCTTTGTGTAAGACATATTTTCAAACTGATGCTTTTGTTTAGGACTTAAATGTTCTAGCAAATAGATTCACCTTTGGGCCTTGTAATATATGACTCCTAAAGAATTCCACGATCCACTGTAAGCTAATTGAAAAAAATTTTTAAAGTTTTACTTGACATTTAAGGTACCACCCACAGTACTTGAAGTAAAATACCAACTCTACGCTCTAATTAGGCTTTAATATAACCAAATAGTAGATTTGCTTTTACAAAATGTATCGTTACCAAACTGTTTCATCCACCTTGTTCCAGTCATTTTTTTTTTTTAAAAAGTGTTGTGGTTTTTTTTTTAACATTAGTGTTTTGTAGCTTGTAATATAGACCTTTATTTTTAATTTTATTTATTTATTTACTTGTCTTTTTGAGACAGGGTTTTGATATGCAATTGAGGTTGGCCTTGAACTCACTTTGTAGGCCAGATAGGCTTCAAACTCTTGGCAATCTTCATGCCTCAGCCTCACTAGTACTGGGATTAAGAACTTTTTATTCTGTCAACAGCTTCAAGGGATTCAGAATTTATAACAACTCACATCTTAAAGGAATTTGAGACTTTGAAATGGTGATTACTAATATTATACTAATATGCACTGTGGTGCAATTTAGCTTGCAGCAGTTGAGAGTGGTAAACTAGACTCTATTTACAAATAGTTTCCTCCTCTAAAGAATACCATGAAATGAAGCTTTATGAAACACCATCATGAAAGAGTATCTTACACAGATTTATCCAATCAGCTTGATACCTAAAGGCTTGTGTTCCTATAAGCTAATCAAGACCTAATGAGATTTTTAAAGAAAACAACACAATTTTAATCTACCTTTAAAAAAAGGAGTATAATTTTAGCCAAACACATGTTGGATTTCATAAGAGTTTATGGTATGTTTTTTTCAAATGATGCTAATCAAGGAGATTGCTAGTCCTAATAAACACTTCCAAATTTGGATGAACTGTGTTTTAAGTGTTGAAAATTTATTTTGAAGGACTCACAATCAATTAGACAAAGCCCTATGATGAAATTCTTCAACTCTATGTTGGATCAATATGAAGACCTTTTACTGTATTATTATTATTGGCACCCGCTGATACATTCAGAAAAGACTGGCAAGAGGTCCATTCCTGAGAGCTGCTGTGGTTCTGAGTTGGCCCCAGAGCTTCCTGGTGGGATACCATTGATTGAGCCAACCTCTCTTGCCAGCTAGGTGCCCAGCCCCTTTCTCACCTTCCTTAGCATCCCTTCCGGGGCCACTTAATGAGTTTCTTTGGAGAGGAGAGACAAAATCTTCCACTCAGTTACTGTTAAATTAATGCCATATTTTATAAACATGGTGCACTATGTTAAATGAGTATTCTTATATTTTATATGAAATATGTTAAAAGAGAGACACAAGGACTGAATATATTAAAGTGGTACAGGAGTGTTCAAAAGCATTGGAACTGTACTATATGTGACAAGGAAATATTTAAAGAAATAGAGCCCCCTAATTGTTGGATAGAGAGGAAAGTAGTCTCATAGAAAGGAAAATCAGACTTTGATAAATAATACCATCATCCTATGCCATTTCATTTTCTAACTTGAGATAAACATGGGGAAGCCTCCCTAGTCAATGTACTTGTTGGTAAGATAAAATGACATCAAAATCTTTTTAAGTCCTAGCCTTACGTAAGATGACCTGCTGAAGGCATACCATGTAGCCTCTTCTGAGGAGCTTTCTGTCACCTCATTTTGCACTCATGGAGAGTGGTGTTATCATCTCTGTGCATGCCAAGATGAGATTCAAAGAGTTTAAATTTCTAGGGTTACAGAACTACTGCTTGATGGAGCAGAAGTGAAAGCCTAATTTCCAAGCACCTAAAACTATACCTCTCTCAACTCAGCCATCTGATGATATACTTGCAAGCTAATGTTTCTTAAAATGCCTGTTGAAGACAGTCATCAAAGAATAATTGGGGACCAAAATGATGTGCTTATGTGTGAAACAATGTTTTGAGACTTTTAATGTACACAGATAAGCTTTCTATGTTATAGGGCTTTGAAACTGGAGGATCTGAGCCAACTGTCATCTACTCTGAAGCTTTTACAGTTGCTTTAAGAATCATTCTCAGTTATTCAGTACAGTATAATACTTCTCCCCACTTTGAACAATTTAAACAGAGAGCATCTGTCTAAGACAAGTGTGTTACCAATTTTTGGGTGTCCAGAGAACAAAACCTAGCTTCACAGAGCTGTCACTACCCAGCTATGGAGAGAGCACTCCTTTGATCTCTCTGAGCCTTTTCCCACCTTAATAAAATGGGGATAATATCAAGTGGGGAAACAAATCTATGGGTTTGGCAAGGCAAGCTGGTATCAATGTTTGTTTATAAAGTAATTCACAGAGAGCTGTAAACATTTTATTAGACACTGAAACAGTTAAAAGACTTGGGAGTAGGAAGGGGCTAAGTAATGAATGCTAATACTTGAATACTAACAAGTAATGAAGTGGTCAAGGTTTCAGAAGGGAGACTCAAAGCAAGCACATGAATAATTCATAATCTGAATATTTCACATACAACAATGAGCAAGTTGTTCATGGGCAATGCTTTTAACTTTTACTGTCTTTTAAAAACTATTGTATCATGCAATATCCAGGGAAAATCATTATCCCTATTTTTACACAAAAGGAGAACAAAGTGCGTCTGGTGAGTCTAGGAGCCACAGCTCATTTCCAATAGTTCCAGAACTGTGAGGGCAGAAAAATAGGCAGCATTTGTTGAACACTTGGTGCCAAGTGCTCCACTGACAGTTTTCCATAGACACAACCTTTGGGCAGTCCAGTGAGGCAGGTGATATTATTGTCCCATTTCACAGATTAGAAAATGGGCCAAAAGTTGTGAAATAATATGTGCAAAATCTCATGAGCCTTATGAGTAGCAGAGCTCAAAATGATGTGGGTCTGTCATAAACCAATATGCCATGCTGCCACAGGAGCCTGGCTCCTAGGTGAAGGCTATTTTTAAGTATAAAGAGATACATTTCTATAATATTCATAGAATTTCTAAATTCCTGTTATCTTTCTGCTTCTTGATATTTCATGGTTTGATTAATGGTACCTCAAACTCTGTATAATTCTTATTTGTCAGAGTGTCTGGCACAATGTGAGATGTGTGGTAGGAGCTTGGTAAGAGCTCCTTTGGTGACATCATGGTTTTTCTCTTGACAGTCACAGGATTTCGAGGGCATGTATTTCTGCTGGCAGTGTGTTTCTTGCTGTAATTTCCAGACAGGCTTACATCTTATTTTGTCTTTAATTTTGTTGCTTATTTTTTATTTTTCCTGATTAGAATTAAGAGCTTCCTGTGATTTTTTTCAGAGTTGTAGGCCAATGTAGACTAATATTTTAGACTGGCTAAGTGATTAAGGAAGGAATCCCCAGACCCACAGATTTAAGCACATCCCTGACCCTGAGGGTGTACCACTGGGTGCTCGCTGTTAGCCACACATACTTCTTCAGCATCCACCTTCTGTTCCCCAGGGAGAGGAAGTGACTCTGAATCTGATTTGCCACATCGGAAGCTGCCAGATGTGAAGAAGGATGACATGTCGGCGAGGCGGACTTCCCATGGTGAGCCAAAATCAGCAGTGCCTTTTAACCAGTACCTCCCGAACAAGAGCAACCAGACGGCCTATGTCCCGGCTCCTCTGAGAAAGAAGAAAGCAGAGCGAGAGGAATATCGGAAGAGCTGGAGTACTGCCACCTCCCCTCTGGGTGGGGAGCGGCCCTTCAGGTGAGGCTGAGCTGTGCTGCTCCCTTTCTAGTGAACCTCCTGGCCATGAGGAAGTTAAATAACTAGTTCAGACCTTCAATAAAAGATTACACAGAGAGGTGGGCAGGACAGACCCTGGCAGAAGCTGATGATCAAATGACAGCTTTGTCAAAATGCCTTCATCTGTAGGGCCAGCCACATAACTCAGCAGACTAAAGCACCCGCTTAGGCAGAGTGCAATGGCTGGGGTTCGATCCCAAGTGTGCCATTCTGGCCCTGCCCCCGGGCTCACTGAGATGACAACTGAGACTGTGCATGGTGGTGCGCGCCTGTGATCCCAGCGCTTTGGAGGCTGAAAACAGGAATCACTACAAGTCCAATCTATGTAGTGAGACCCTATAGAGCCTGTAGACCCTGTCCTAAATTCATAAAAATAAAAGCCTTCATCTGTGCATGGTACATAGTAGGTATCTATCAAATACTTATCTAATGAGTGGGTCTGGAAAGTCACTTGTGTTGACAGAGCGAGAACAGATCTGTCCTGTATGTCTTTCTGAGGGCAATGACTCCTGATCTTACTGGATTAGCTGTAGAGGACATTTTATGCAAAAAAGACTTCCTAAAATTTCAGTGAAAATTCATCTAGATAGAAGCAATGCATGGAACGTGCTTGACAATCACATATAGGAGTCGTGCTACTAAATGGAAAACGCGTTGGTGGCTCCTCTCTTTAGAGAAACAAGCAGTGGTTTTCTTAATCTCTGTATATTCATTCAGCAAGTATTTACTGAACATCTACTGTGTGTTCTGTACTACCTTTATGCTTTGGGAATTCAGGAATAAATAAGACATAGAGTCCTTGCCCTAAATAACCTTCTAATAAAGGAAACTTTTCTCATTGTTCTTATTTTTACTAGGTATAAATTTCTATTCAATAAATATTTTGTTAAAAGTTTTAATTTTTAAACAAAACTAATGAATTTTCCCCAACAGAAAACGATTTGCCCTGGCAATGTCAAGATCGGAATAGTTCTTAATATTTAGAGTACGACACATTGCATTAACTCTAGGACACTTTAGTTGTCTCTACAGCACCAAGATTATATTGTATGTTGTTACTTTTTTTAAGATGAGAAGGACTATCAGAATGGCTGGGAGGTGACTCGCTCCCCCAGCTAGTTTGTTAGTTTGGTAAACCATGTTGTTCAACCCACTAGTTATCCTGAAACAATAGAGGAGGAGGGAAGCGAAGCGGGGTCTCCAGGTGAAGAAGATCCAGCCGGCCACATGCAACTTGGGGGGCGGCCTTGGGATACTGGCTTAGAGTCAGCGCACAGCAATGATAAGGAGCAGCCGCCTACACTGGGGGCTGAGCTGGCGTCAGCTCCCAAGTCGGAAGACGCTGCGGAAATCCAGAAACGCAGAAGGCTAGAGCAAGCTGGAATCAAGGTCATGCCAGCAGCACAACGTTTTGCCAGGTTAGCTCTGCCAGTGGAGGGCTGGCCAGCTGGCTTTCTGCATGCCCGCGAGTGTAGACCCTGTCTGGCAAGTTGGATTCTTCATCTCGTTTTTTGCTTCCTGCTCTTTCCAGTGTGTTCCTCTTCCCTCCTCTGAATTAGTAGTCTCTGCGCAGTCCTTGGTTATTTTAAATGGAGGTAAAGACTGACCTCTCGGCCAATCCTAAACATGTTTGTGCTTCTAGAAAATTCTAACAAAGTCATGCTTGTTTTATAAGCAGCTCTCTGAAGTAATGAAAAGACCCGGATAAGACCTTGTGTTGATGCTGTACTTACAGGCTGCAGGACTTTCCTAGCAATAATATCTTCTTTCTCTGTTGTTCATGCCTTGTTGGTTTTCAGACTACTCCTAAATGGCTCCCTGTGTCATTTTATACATCACAAGAGAATAGTGTCCTGAAATGGGGAACTCTGTCTTTACATAGTTAGGCTGGCTTACACAGTCAATCTCTTTGTGTTAAGGGAGCAGCAAGTAGGATCAACCCTGTCTCAATTTCTGAAGCATGTAACAAAGAATGGAGTAATTACTTCTCTTAATCGTAACAAAGACAGTGTACAATCCTGATGGCTTCACATTACACACAGGATGGAGACATTCAGCAATCAAAGCCCTAGGAAAACACAGTTCTTGATTTCCTTCATGTTTTAAGAAGCTGTGGCAGTTGGCATCCATAGGAATTTTACGCTTGGAACACCTTTGCCCCTTGCCATGTCATTTAATTCTAGAAGGTAGGTGATACTCTCACTTTTCAGGAGAGGAAATTGAGGGTCAGTGACAGGAAGTGATTACAGAGTGAGTCACAGCTGGCCTGATGGCCAGAGTATGGTGTTCTGACCACAGCACCACATATGCCTCCCACACATGTAGCAGAACATTTTCCACGTGTCGGTACAACTCCATATGTGGTTGCTTCAGTGGTCCAGGTCTTAATAGAAACATCCGGCGTTGACTTAGATGGATTTAATCCCGGATAGCTTTGGATTAATAAAAACCAAAATATAGTTCTGCCTGTGGGATCCCACAGACAACCAGGCCAACCCTAAACATGTTTGTGCTTCTAGAAAATTCTAACTAAATCATGCTTGTTTTATAAGCAGCTCTCCGAAGTAATGAAAAGCCATATCATAGACTCTTATTTTAAAAACAAAATCTAAGTGTTTTTTCCTTATAATTTTGACTCTAACAACTTGTCAGATAATGTATTGTTTTTTCTACATCCTTCCAACATCTACTTATACCACAGACTGGGCTCCATGTGGAGAATAATATCCTCTCCCATGTCCCATTTTCCAGGCTTCTCGTTTCTGTCTTAAAGTCCAGGACCCAAGAGATATATGTACAAAATAATACAGATAAGGGTGTGAATTTATTTGAAAATTTAATCCTAGTATCTTTGGCCTGCATACCTTCAGTTTTATCTTCTCTATAAAGATGTTAAGCTAAAATTTGCCAGGGACATAGGCATCATCATCACCGAGTCATCATCTTTTCAACTTCTCAGAGGGCAAAGGGAGGCAGATGAGGAGCTGCTCTGAACTACCTGGGTACCTCCCAGCATAATAATGATGCAGAGAACACAAGGTGGGCACGGGGTTGGAATTCCATCAATGTCCTTTGACACTTCAGTGACTCTGAGGCTTATTGTATGATAAAACATTGAACTCTTGTGTCACAACTCCCTTTCAGTACACAAACATGGAATCCACTCTAGTTTGTAAATCTAATTCTGGTGTGTGTCTAATGCATATAGTATATCTATAGCCATATTTATTCCCATCCATGTTTCCTGTTACCTGGCTTATGTTTTGCCTTTTTCATGCCTACTAAATATTATGCAGAAGTTTGCAGGTCAGTGACTATCATCACACCCAAGAGCTTCAAAGTTAGCACTTAGGATTGGGTTCAGGGCATACACCACATAGAGGATGTCCCAATAATGATGCAGCTTAGCTGCCCCAGTCACCTAGAGTTCATTTGTGAGGCAGATTTTTTTTCAGCTGCTTGCTGACTCATAAATGTTTTACACATACCATGCCACCAGCCTGGCGTGTCTGTGCTTTTGTCACTTAACTTTTTGCAAGCCACAATAGAGTTCCAAATCATTCTAAGTTTATCCACATTTGGTCATCCTGCTTTTAATGTGGGAGCAGTTGCCTAATTGCAGTGAAATATATCATGAAGAAGAAAAGGATTCTTGGTGAAGATAAATCATTGCAATATGTTGATGTCTTTCAAAGCATTTTGAACCTCAGTCTCCTTTTTTGACATCCAGATGAATTCATCTGAAGGCCTCACATATTTAGACCCAATGGGAGGCCTGAGGTACTTCACGAGGCCCGTTTCTTGCCAGGAAAATCAGGGTTTACAGGGGCAAGTGAGAGTGTGGGTGTGTGTGATGTTTCAGGGGAGGTGTGTACAGAGAACAAAGCTTTATTTTTGTAGACCACTTTTTTCTGTTTGTCTGCCTCCTAGGAATTTTCAAATACTTCCTTGCAGTATTTTTAAAACAGTATGCAAAAAGGAGCAAAGGTGCATGTTATTTTATTGTCACATGAGATTAGAAGCCTGGAAGTCCCAAGCTCCCTGTGAATCAATATATAAGGAGGTATTGTAGCATCAAGGGACAGAAAATAGGACTTCTTAATAAATATGTGGCATTTAATATTTATTAGTTTCTATCGAAGTAAGAAGAGTCTATAAACTACTTTTTCTTCTATTTTATGATCATGTTAACTTGATTACCCTTCCCCATAGAAGGCTCTGCCAAAGAAGCCAGGATTTCTGTTTTTAAGAGGATAAAATAAGAACCAAGATCCACTTCCTTTGAATTAAAATGCCATAGAGATTTGAGTTTTCTTACTTTGTGTTTCCCATTGGAGAAGTAAACTTTTTTTTTAACTGAATTATAGGTTTCACGTGATTGTACTTCTTTTCTAATTGTTTTCATATGTTTCAGCACTCAGTATTTTCTGCTAGTCTGTGAATCTTCTCAACCACATAGTAATTAATTACAGAGGGAGAAAAACATCTCTGAGGAACAATAGACATTTTAGAAATCTTTGGAGGAAGAGCAGACACAGCCAGTGCCAGACACGCAGTCCTCCACATTCCTCCTTCCAGATGCCGGTCCCTTGATGGCTGCTGTACAGATCCTCGGGTCTTGGGACAGGCAGACACAGAACATGCATGAACTTTGGTGACTCTGGATGTCACTGCCCTGCCTGGAAAAAAGGGGACACGGAGGTTTACTGTTGTTGCCCAGGACATTCCCAGGAGGACCAACAGGCTTTTCTGGAGCACACAGTTTCTTTCAATAGAACAAACCAGCTGCCAGGCTGAGGTGGTTGCTTATGCACTGCCAAGCAAAAAGGGGTGGAAGAAAATGCCAACTCTTCCTTCATTTAAACCATTAGCTCATTGACTTTGAAATATATACACCTTGGAAACTTGGAGACAAGAGCTTTTTAGGGCCTGTCTGGTGTGGCTCCATAATCTGTCCTATTGTGACAGCCTTACTTGTTTTGGATGAATCTGGGCAGGTTTGCCAGGCTAAAGGTGGTGCTGGGCACTTCTCAGTGCACAAAGGACTATGTTCCTACCAGGTACACGGTGTTCACCAAGGGATTCCTTCTTCTCAGAATAGCTCATGTGGGAGTGACTCAAAAGAAAATTAGAGGCCAAACAGCCTGTTCTGCCACATACATTGATTTCAATTAATTTTCCCACACTCAGATAACTTGAGCTAGAGACTTTAACCTTCTCTACAAAGTGGGCATCGTAACTCCTAGTTTGCAGCTGTCAGGAACGTGAGTGCTTCTGGAATGTACTAGCTGCTCAGAAAGTTGTTATTAGAAAGTAAAATAAAATATATCAGCATTTCACAATAAACTGCCATTAATGTCCTTTAAGGAAAAAAAATCATACATTATAAGTGTCATTGAAATATTTTGGTAAGTGGGCACCTTTGACTACTTTCCTATGCACCTGCCTTAGGTGTACTATTTATTGTTTTATGGCCAAAAGTCCCATTCCATACTCTGTATCATTAGTTTTTTTTTTCTTTTCTATGTCTCTGCTTTGAACTTTTGAATTTGCAAAATTCAAGCAATAACAAAAAAGTCATTTATTATGACAGTTTTCAAGGGGGAGGGCAGAGCCTTCAAGCAGTCAGTGATACAGAAGCTTGCTTCAGCTCCTTTGGAGAAGGCCACATATCTAAATGGAGATCACTTGAAACAAGTCCCGCCACACTGGACATCTGGCCTATGGAGAAACACCCGGGGAGTTTGTACCGTGGCTGGGCACACAAGATGCACAAGGTCCCAGGTTCTCCCTGCTCGAATTGGCGCTGCAAAGTGGCAGGACTATTTGCATAAATGTGTCCCTTTTTTCCCCAAAGAATTCTGCCTGAGATGAAGAAGCACAGGATTCCTGGTTAAAAGAAAAAAAAAGAAAACATTGATCTTGAACTTAAGCAATTCAAGATGAGGGCCTGCCCCGCCCCCATGCTGTAGTATGAGAGTGTGTGAAGTATGTGTTTCTGCCTGCACTGGGCCGAAAGTCTGAAGAGCTTTGTAAACAATAAGTTATAGTGTAAATACTGTAAGGTATGAGTAGTTAGCGTTCTGCCATCATCAGTCCTGACTGAATGTTGCTGTCTGTAACCAGAAATGCAATTCACAACTCCATTCTGAGTACAACTCACAGGATCTCTTTAATAACCTAATTACTTCCCTTTCTCCTGCTTTTACAGTAATGATAATGCCTTATTTTTTGTACGATGCTCTACTTTAAAAACTGCTCCTGACATGATCCTTTCTTCAGTGAATAGCACGGTGGTCTATTCATTGTCATAAAAGAGGGCCTGTGAGAACAGACAGGCTAGGTGTGCATGTTACTTTATGCACTGTCTCTTTGAACTTGCAAGTTTCTTAGCCTAAGCACACTTTCCATTTCAAATGGGGATGATAATATCACAGATTTTGCACAGTTAGTATTAAGCTTAAAGGAATTAACACTTAGAGGGAATTGTAGCACACAGTTTGCATGCATTAGCTCTCTTCAGTATCAGTTAGTGACTTAAAAGACATTAGTTCAGGGCCCTATCATTTTACACAGGGCACTCTTTATAGTCATAGTCAACCAATATCAGTTGGCCCTTGCCAGGTAAGTTGACAGAGGAGGCTGGGAAGGACAGTGTCCACCATACAAGCCATGAGCCCAGGAAGAACACTGCAAGTAGAGTCTGCAGAATAAAGCATAGGATCTTGTATTTTAGGAAATAAAATTATTCAAAGAGCAAAGCATCACTCTCACCTTCTGCGTTTTAAAATTTTATTGAAAACAATGATTACTAGAGAAAAATTTTCTGGCATGACCAATGAAGCTTTGATTTGCCTTATCAGATGGAATGGGGGGTCTACTGTCACCTTAAGAGGCTAACCTCCTTCAGAGCCACATGGGCAAAGCAACAGACAATAGGCCAACTGGTTGACCAATGTATGTAGCCAAGCTAATTTCTTCTGTCTTAATTCCTCACATGAGTTTGTCCTTTCAGGGTAAACAGTTACTCTTTATCTTCCCTCAGTAAGTCCATACAAAGTAGGTGAACTTTCTTTAGGTATCAGTGTATTTTACTGACTTACCATCTTCAAGAACTGAAAAGACAGTAAATTATGAAAAACTTTTCAGCATTTTATTCTTACTTAAAAAGACTGGTTTATGAGTAAGTGGAGGGTGGTTGTTTGGTTGAATGCCATAGGCGTCATTGCTGTATCCTTCTCACCCTACTACAGGATAAAAACTGAGTTGAAAAACTCTTAAGATTTGCTGCCTGGTACTCCACAGTTAAATTATGTACCTTTAACAATTTAAATTTTGTTTGTCAGAGGGACCTTCAAAACTCCTTTGAAAATGGAAGTAGCCCATGCTAATCATTTTAGAATCATTTTGGCAAAAAGTCTTACCACAATGTTCTGGCCATCTAGCATCTAACAGAAGCCATAATGGAGGTAAAGGGTCGTGGAGACAGAAGAGGAAGAAAGGGTCTCTAATGAGAGGTACAGGGCATAGGAGCCTTTGTGCCTTGGGCTCACTGTATGAGTGGTCTCCAATTACTCTGGGTGCTTTGGGTTGGCTCTGTTCTGCAGAAGGACCTTCCTCGCCCTTTGCAGTCTAGTGCACATTCTGGGTACGCCCTCGTAGTTGTGCTCTTTGGCTTTCCTTCAGGTCAGTTTCTCGGTGGTTCAGGAATTTGCACTGATAGTCAGAAGCAAATTAGGTCCCTATTTGATGCATTACTGAATGTGCCAAAGGAAAAAGGAATAGCCATGAAGCTTCCTGATTTTCCTCAATTTCATGAAATGGTTTGGGGCTGTCACTTTCAGAGCCATTTAGGATCCTGCTTTCTTGCTGTTAGTAGACTCCTTCAAATTAAATGACGTTCTAGGATGGCTAATGTCGGGCTAAATTCAAGGGTTTGAATCCCACCTTAACTGTGCTGCAGCTCTGCACTAAAATAAAGCCATGTTGTTTGCACTAACAGTATGGGAAGGACTTTTGAATAATAACAAAGTTCTCTTCCTAGAGATGGGGATTGCATTTTGGGGTTTCTGATCATATGTGGAGTTCCATTTAATTTTGCTTTATTAGTCAAAAGCAATTAAGTGAAGAGAAAGAAGCTTTTCGTGATATTATCCTTCGCAAGGAAAATTCTTTCCTGACCAACCAACGTAGCAAAGATTCAGAGGCAGAAGAGGAGATTCCATGTCGGCTGCCCGACCTTGAGAAAGATGACTTTGCTGCGCGGAGAGTAAGGATGAACCAAACTAAGCCTGTGGTGCCTCTGAGTCAGCTCCTCTATGGGCCTTATCGAAGGAGAGATGCGGAGAAGCCAGGTGGCAGCCAACAGCTCTCAAAGGGAGTTTTGGAAGAGAAAGGTCTGGAATATAAAAGGTGTGCACTGTGTGTCTATGAAAGAGAAAGCATAATTAAGCCCAGGGATTTGCATCGTAGCTCCCATTCCTCTCTTTCCCTGCCTAATTCTATGCAATATACCATGGGGCCATTTGAAGTGAACTCCAGATATCCATTTCTCATGAATGTCTAAATGCACATGACAGAGAGTAGACTGGCCATGTCCAAAAATGTGCTGATCAGGGTACATCACCATATTTGGGTGCTGGTTTTATAGATTGGCACTCTTGGCCAGCTGGACCGTGTCTCTCTAGGCCGCTCTGGTCTGCTTGAAGGATGGAAAAGATATAATTATTCCTCTCCTAGAAGCTCTTTTTCTTTGTAACTTTTAGATTTTGGAAGTGAAAAAAAGTGAAGCTTGCTTTTTCTTGTGTTACACATCAATAGTGACCTATTTTATGGGGGCTCTGGAGAGTGACCAGAGGTGTCACCCGGACAGAGGGCAATGGATGTTTCCTGTCAAAACAGAACAATAAACGAAAACTCCTCAAATGTAAAATAGATGCCTGTATGTCCTAACATGGAAATTATTTTCAAATGAGTTTCCTTCTTCCAACCTTTATCACATCAAGTTGAGCATTCCTAATGTGAAAAGCCAAAGTTCAAAATGTCAAAACTTAGGTGGGCGAGATAGCTTAGCAGACTAAGTACCTACTTAGACTAGCACAGGGACCTGGGTTCAAACCCCAGTGCCACACGCTGCACCAGTGACCGAGTCTGGCTATGGTAGTGCACACCTGTAATCCCAGAGCTGCAGAGGCTGAAAACAGGAAGATCATTACAAGTCTGAGCTGCGTAGTGAGATGCTACCAAATATATATATATAAAAGGAGATTAAAAATGTCAAAAATCTAAAACATTTTGAGTGCTGATACAACAACTCAAAAAATACCACACCTGACTTCATATAATGAGTCACAGTTAAAAAAAAATACAAGTACGCTAAAATATTGCATAGAAACTACCTTCAGGCTGGGTGTACTGACCTATGAGATGCAGCCCAAAATATGGAGAACATTTAATTTTTAATTCATTACATTAAAACATACTGTCATTAATTTCCCCCTCAAAATATTTCCCTCACTTTGAACATAATTTTCTCCATCATTCTTGCCACTGTGTGCAGCAGCTGTAGAAGCTGTCTTCCATGAATACTTCGGTCTGGCTGCCTTGATGTACTGAGTTGATTCAAACTTTTTCAGCCACTTTTATCCAGTGAAGACTTTCTGGTGTGCCTTCATCCACCTCATCCATGGTAGCTGGCATGGTGTGACTTCTGGCCTCACCCTATAGTCTAAATGACCAGGAAGGGTACATGTTTTGAATCCAATCAAGACATAGAGAGAGTCACGACTGCTCGGCTAGCGACGTGCAGGAAAGAGCACTTCAGAACTGCTTGAGAGTGCGGCAGGAATGACGGGACACATCAAAGCAAGGGAAAATATTCTGAGGAGGATTGTTTACCTTTTATTGTAATACATTTTTAAAATGTGAACATTTCGCTATCTGTTTTGATCATATCTCTTATGTGAAAAATAAGTAAATTTTGTATTTAGGCTGAGGTCTGATTCCCGAGATATCTCATCACATAAGTATATGCAGTATATTTCAAAACCCCCAAAAATCTAAATTCCCAATTACCTCTAGTCTCAACCACTTAGGAAAGAGATGTTTGGCCTGCACATGTCAGAGTGGAGAAAGGAAAATTGTGGTGAGATTAATCTGAGCTGTGCTTTTTGTCCTAACCAGGCTGTCTTTGAGGTGTTTGCTTACGGAGCTTCACCCTGCAGAGTTTATCAGACTTAGAGGTTTCCTCACAGCAAAATCAGATGGCGTTAGCACCTTGATTCTTTTTGTGCCCATCACTAGAGGTTTTTAAGTCCATTGAACTGAAAATACTATTATCTGAGCTGTACTTTATACATCTAAACATGGTTCTTTGCACACAGTAGAATAATTAGTACATTTTTTTAAAGGAAACACCAGATACAAATGCACAAAAGACCCCTGGATATGGAACAGGGATTAGAGCAAAGGGGTTTTTCACAGGAAACATCCTAAGATTTTAGCCTGTGCTGTCCTTGCTGGCTTACCTTGCAACAAACCACGCTGAGGGCCTTGGGGGAGGGATCGGTTGTTGGGAGTGAGACAAAGACTTGGAAATTGCCGAGCATCCCAGCTTACGGGTGCTGATCTGCAATTTGAGTGGGAAAAGGACTAGATGGTATATCTGCCTTTTTCCCCCTTTTTCTTCATGAAATTTTAATTCCTGATATTCCCAGATTCAGTTGTTTGTTGTTACCGACTCTCTGGCTAGGGACACTGTTCTGAGTCTGGAGCACAGCATGACTTCTCTGGACAATGTCAGACAACTTATGAAACAAATAAATAAATATCCTATACCCCAAACTAAGAGGAATAGAAAATTCTGTAGCCTTCCTATTGGAATGGGTGTGGTAAATTCACCAAATCATAGCAGTAACAAAAGAATATCTCTTATTTTTCTGACTTGGATAATATAGTTTGAAAAAAGTCAACCTATTTATGTATAGTAATAAAATTCTTTCTTCTCAAGAAGTGTATTAGAAATTTAGTATGATAAAAATTTTATCCATATAGAGGCCCACAGCTCTGGATTAAATTTTTATATACCAGCTACTGCTCATTTCTTAAAAGAACAATAGAAACTATCAGTTTGGCATCAATAAGTGGGTGAATGATTACTAAGATAAGAAACAAAGGTGTATTGACTCTGTACATCTAAGGAAACAGCATATACTCCCCTTGGTGAGTTTACAGTAGCCAACCCTGATAGATGCTATGCAGCAGACGATAAGGCTGAACGGTGACATTTTCTGTTCAGTACTGAGGTAAGTGTACTTTCTGGAAGTTGTAGGTTTATGGTTGAGATGTTTCTTATGTGAAAAACATTTCAGCTTTCTCTAGAATAATCCTAAAATTTGGATCACACAGAGCTCATTGCTAACATTTTACCATTGCTGTAAAAAAAAAAAAATTTGAAGGGGGCTAAGATTTAATCAGACCACTTGAATTCATTATAGTAACTTGAAAAATGTGGAAATTGCACATCCTTACTGTCAAGTTGAAATCGCATTACTATTCTTAGTAGTGTTTCAGCAAGCTGTCTTCTCTTCCCAGACTAACCTACAAACTGTCGTCTGCTGAAGGATACTGTCGTCTCATTGGAGTGTTTAAGGGCCAGTGCAGATAAAAGTAGATCAAAGTGACCACAAGTCTAATCGATAGATTCTGTATTCTTAAGAAAGTGCTTTTGTTCTTTCCCCTGCCTCTGAGTTTCCTTGGTTGACCTTCTGTTCCTTTGGTCCCCTTCCTTGAACCTGATTTCCCCTATGATGTGGGGACCTGGATCAAATTGACAGAAACCAGGGCCAAACAGAAGTAGTGACCTGTGTTATCCGAGCTCAGGAGAGTGAACCGGCGGAGAAGGGCCTCAGGAAGGTGCCAGACCTACACAAGGATGACCTGGCCCAGCGGAGAATTCAGGGCAGCTCTGCCCCTCGCCGTGAGGCTCCGTGCTTCCTCGCTCCCTCCACTATTACTGAAGCTGACTTAGAGACTTGGGAGAGATTAAAAGTGACAGAAAAGAAGAGGTGTGTCATGTCTTCCCTGGTTTTCTTCTCAGCTCTGGTATTATTTAACATGGATGGAATCAAATACTAGTCCTTGTTTCATTTTAAATTGTGATCACTGGAAAAAGTACCTGTCAAAACAGAGCTTCTGGAAACCAGCATATTCTGCATGAGAGGAAACTTATTAATGTAGAAGGTCAAAAGCTACAGTAACAGAAAACAGCTTCTTTAACTAGCTGGCTCACTATGAATGTTACTTAGTTTGCTAGACTTATTTACTATAAGGAACTTAAACTTGATTTGGGATCAATTTTAATTATTCCTCTGTACATAAGATTTTCGTATAATGTTGGCACTGCTTTCTTAAAAGCAATAGAAAAGTAGGAGGTGTGGTTCAGTAGTAGAGTGCATGCTTGGAATATATGAAGCCTGGGCTCAATCCCTAGGAATAAAATGAGAGAAAGAAAGGGAAAGAGAGAGAGAGAGAGGGGGGGGGGGGACAGACAGACAGAGAGTGACAGAGAGGGAGAGAGGGAGGGAGGGAGGGATGAAGGGAGGGAGGGAGGGAGGGAGGGAGAGAGAGCGCACTTACCTAGGCAAGAGGACAATTGTTTCTTTGTTAGTCTGGTTAATGGGAAAGCAGTTCTGCTCTAGCCATAGGAGTATTTCTTGTGTGCCTACTTTTGTATTTGAAACCTCTTGTTGCCTTGTACTAGAAATCACTGGCACTTACTTGTGGTTCTGACTAGGGATGGCGATGCTCAGCACCTCTGTGCCCCTGAGCCTTCACCAGAAATCAATGCGGAAACTGCCCTCCGCGATGACTTTGCCACCCGCAAGGCCAGGGCCTATACTAAAGCTTCCAGCCCAAAGCAAAAGTTTGTGCACTTTGGGCCCGTGACAGAGATAGATCAGCAGAAATGGAGGCGGCTCAGCGTTGGCATGGCGGGGCCTAGGGAGGCTGTGGAAGTTGCCGGGCATGACAGCAAGATTCAAACTTATTCTGTGTCTCCTGCATCGGGGGACACTTCCAGCCTGAAGGAAAATGAAATCCTGAATCCACAAAATGACTCCAGGTATTTTTTTTTTAACCAACCCTGTGCAAGGATATCTGCATGGGAGCCTCTGCTGCTTTTAAAGGTTTTTCTGGGACTGAGAGTATAGCTTCATGGTAGTTTGTGCTTCCCGTGTGCAAGGCCCTGGGTTTAATCCCCAGCACCTCAAAACTGAAGAGTTCAGTGAAATGTGTTACATAAGCCCCCACAGTTGACACAGTTCTAACAGACTCTTCTGCCAGATAGCAGGGGAGTCAAGCTTGGGGTGGCCCTCAGGGGAAGCATGCATGTGAGGTTAGAGGGCAAGTACATGTTTCAGTTTTTTTCCTCATAGAATTCACTGCCTGGAGAAGACAGTAATCTCCACAAATGACCCTTTTTTCCTTCCACTGAATGAAACACTCTTTTATTAGTTGAAAATATTGAAATGAGCTCGATGGAACGTTTTAATGATATCACTAGTGTTTCTTCCAAGGATGTATTGATTTAAAAATTTGATTTATCTACAACTTCCCTCTTTCCTATCCCATGCTTCTAAAATCCCTAATAGTATTGTAGCTCAAATTTTAACTATCCAAGTACAAACATTAAAAAAAGGCCTTCCCCTCCCCTACATTGTTCAGTTACACAATAAATCTTGAGTGGAGAAAGATTTCTCTTTGAGAGATTTCTTTAAGTCAGATGTTTCTATGGATGAATCACTGCCTAGATTTGTGAAGCAACAGCTGGTAGGCCTGTTACCAGTTCTTCTCCCTTTGGCTGTGAAGTCCTAAGCCTGGGGAGGCGGTCAGTTCTGTGTGCTGGTCTGTCTTCCCTTAAGCAGGTCAGGTACAGGACATTCATGAGATTCTGGGTTCTCCTGGGACCCTCCATCTCACCTCCATGGTGGGAGCAAAGTGAAGCTCTTCATGTGGGAAAAAATGCCCTATGCTTCAATTGGGAAATCCCAAGGAGAGTTGTGGGGGACCGTGGCATGCACAAGGGTTTCTTTAGTTCCACAAGCACTGCAGAAAAACGTAGTCAGGGCTTCAGAGCCCGGTGGGGTCTGATGTAAGGCTAGGGCAGGAAATTCATGAGACATGTTCTCTGGAGCCCCTCAGCACTCTAGGGGCCATTGCTGAGCCCCACGGTGACAGGGTCCTTCTAGGTGTTCTGGCCTTTTCTCAGGTCACTGCCAGAGTTCACAGTATATTATCTTAATCTGCCTGTGTCACCTTTATTAACCAGCCCAAACTAAGAGCAGCAGATCTTGTTCAGTCTTTCCATCGCAACACCCTTTGCTGTCTCCATTCATAATCCTTTTTCCTTTTGTCTTTTGTCACCCATACTACTTGGTTAGTCACAGGCTCGGGAATTCTGCCTTAGGTGGTTACGAGAGGGTCTCGTGGCTGGCTCCTGTGCCCGAGTCCCAGGAGGAGCAAGTCTCCAGCTTGGGCGAGGGCCCGAGGAGACCAGAGCAAGGTGAGGAGTGATGTCTCCTGCCTCCTCCAGAGATGAAGAATAACAGGTGGGAGGCCTGTGGTGAGTTCTTTCCAGCAGTAAAGCTGTCTTCTCTGACTCTAGTTACATCAAAACAGCTGCCTCAGGATGGCAAAGAAGGAAATGAAGGAGTTGCTCAAAGGAGTTCTGTGATGCCACCGAAGGCAGAAAGATCAGAGGCGCTCAGCCAGCCCCCGTGAGCATCTGCCTGCGTTCCGTGGTGTGCTGTGTGGCCAGTGTGTTCCCAGAAAGCCGCTTAGCATCCCAGTATGCACTCAGTGAGTGATGCAGCCAAGGGTAAAGTTCCTTACAGAATGCCTGGGATTAGAGGCTTGCTTATGGAGCTCACTGTAGGTAGAAAGCCTTTGCATGTGGCTGATGACCAGCCAGATTGCCTTCTCAGCAATCATGAAAAGCAGGATGGGAACCTTTCCATTTGAGTACCAGCTGCATGAGAGAGCTTCATGGAATTAAAAAGGGGATCCTCTACCCTGCAGCAGTGTGAGCTTCTGCCTACATGGACACGGGCTTCTTCTGTCTTGATTGATGCCAGTGGGGGAACACTACTGAAAACCTTTAGCAATAAGTGGCCTTTGACTGGCTGGGCTGAGTGCTGCCCTAGAGCATGTCCTTTGGCTTCTGCATGGGCATCTTCAGGGAAGGAGGAGAAGTCAGAGATGATGACAGCTCCTGTCAGGAGTGGCAGTGGACTGAAAGGCCAAAGAAAGTGAACTGATTCACAAAAAGATGACATAATGACCAGGCGATGTCTTCTACACCCATTGGATCCAACCCAAACCAGTTCCTTCCAGTTCTGCTTGCAAAGCAGCTACATGTGGGAGAATCTGCCAAGGGTTCACCATAGATGTCAGAGGTCAAAAGATCGTCCTGCACCCTTGTGACTCTGATTCTCTGGTCAGAGCCCTGGTACATGCTTTGAGGGTGCTGTTGATTCATTGTGATGCATCAATTGCTAACAGAAATGAGTTAAAATGGTTCAATCTACTAAGACTTGTGGGGTTTTGTGCATATGAGTGGGTGTGGAAAGATTATTTGAATAGTAAATTCATCTGTTCTTTGTGGTTTTCATCTTGTTGGTAGCATAAACGGGAAACTCATTTCTTCCTGATTCATAGAAGAGCACTAGGTAAAGGGATCAAACTGCCTTATGTCCTGTTTAGTTTTATTCTGATTCCAGGCCAAAATGATTTGGCCTAATGATGTAATGATGTAATGATACTTATAGAATTTGTGATTTAATATTTCAACATTAGCAAACACTCATTGCCTTCTAGAGGTAAGACTTGTATGCTATGCTATGCCTTGACTAATGAATAAGGAAATAATGCTCCTAGGGTTTGATGTCCACTATGTAGACACCTCAATTGTCATTTAATATAAGCATGATATATTTTTGTTTAAAGTGTGGTTTGCCTACACCACACAGGGCAAAGGAGTGGGGAGTGTTTTGCATAATTACAATTTACTATAAAATAGGAAGGGGTGAGGTCTGCTTCTCCAAGGACTGTGATGGCAGTGTGGTCAAAGGGTAGAGTGGGGAGGGAAGACAGCATTAAGTGGCCTCTAAAACTAAACCAATGTCCTAGCCATCTTTATGATCCAAATCTCATCTATATTTTATTTTCTTTGGAATAGTAACAATAGTAGAATCAAATTTCTCTATAGCTGTCTTTTAGGGGGCCAGGATCATGTTCATGCTTTTCTCAGCAGAGTGCTTTGTAGCCTTTTCAAAGTACATCCACCTGTTCAAAGCACATCCAGCTAACCTTTTCCCTGCAATTCACAGGTACGTTGAGTGATGTTTGCCCCATTTTACAAATAGGCAGCCCAATCTGAGAAAGTTAAATGGATAGATGACACGTGGTTCCCAGCCTGGTTAGGGCCGGGCAGTGACAGAGGGCCGGACAGGATAACCTAGTCATCCACAACCACTCGCCTTCCAAATATCCTGATGTGGCACTTGGCCTGGGCTCACTGGGTTGTTATGAGGCAGAAAAGAGTGCAAAGGTAGGGCTGGGCCCTTGGTTCAGCCCCTAGCACCACAAAAAATAAAAGGAAACCAAATACATTCTGGGTGCATTCCTGCTTACTCCTCACTTAACCTTTGAGAGCTAGAATTTCTGTGTGCATTTGCAGTCAGGAAACCAAGGCCGCGGTGCATTCAGCCAGGGATTTTAGAACCGAGATTCAAACCAGTGGAGTGGAAAGCCACTCTCTCCGTGCAGCCTGTTGTCTGCACAAGTGAGGTAAATCGGTGGAACCTGATGAATTCCCCAGCACTTCATCTGCCTCTGAGTGGATGATTCCAAGAGTCCTCTGAACATTCCAGTGGGAATGAGTGGTCAGTTTGAGCTCAAGGAGATAGTCAGATTAACTCTCACATGCTTGTGCGATTGAGCCAGCATAAATGTAGGGCATTTGTGTTTCCCTTTCAACAAGGTTTACTGAGTAACTATTGTGTGCAAAGCATGCTGGTTACGGGGAGAGTACTTCAGATGAGCAGTGGAGCCATTTTCCCTCTGATATCTAATGGGCATAATGCTAGTTCACAGTATAGAAATGTGTCATCAGCTAATTGTTGATTCTGAAATTCTTCAGGTTAAAAGTTATGTAAATGTAACCAATATTATGCATAGATTGTGCCCTTTATCTTTCTAAATACTCCCATCTTCAAAATTAAACTACATTGTTGACTTCTTCCTTTTCTTATTCTTTTTCCTTCTCCTTGCCTTCCTCTTGTCCCCTCCTCCTCCTTTTTCTCCTCCTTCCCCCTCTTCTTCATGTCCTCCTTTCTCCTCCTGCTCCTCCTCCACCACTGCCTCCTTCTTTCTCCTCCTTCTCCTCTTCTCTTCCACCTCCTGCTCTGTCTTCCATGCTTTGCCAACCATGACTACTTTGTTTCCCATAGCCTATTGACACACTTGGCTTACATTTTACAAATGTCCTTTTTTTCCCCCTGTATATTAGAGAGGGATCAACAGGGTGTTCAGGGTCTCACTACTAGGTCAGACTCATAGTGATCCACCTGTTTACAGCCTCCCAAGAGCTGGGATTACAGGCGCATCCTACTATACCCAGTCTCAATTGCTGTCTCAGCTTGCCCTGGGGGCAGGGCCAGAATGGCTGGCCCAGGGATTGAACCTCCAGCCACTGTGCTTGCTTGCAGGGGCTTTAATCCACTGAGCTATTTGGCTGGCCCATTATAAATGTCTTTAATAGTGATTTTTTTTTTTTTTTTTTTTTTGGTGCAACTTGCCTTTACTTTTTGGTTTTCTGTAGGACAACTGAGAAAGCCACTTGAAGTCCAACCTCTGATTTTCTTCCCCTTACCAGCAAAGGCAATTCTGCTTAAATGTGTGCCCTTTTAAAGCAAATAAATTAGTCTGAGAGGAAACTCCTCAAGTCCATAGTTGTGTCCCAATGAAGATAAAAGAAGCTTATCTTCAGAGTCTGTGCTATTCTTTTCCATTTCCAGAGCATCCAATATATGAAACAAATACTTATTGAGCGCCTTCTCTTCTGGTCACTGTCCAGGGAACTCAAACATAAAAATTCCTGTCCCACAAGACTTAGATTTAAGTCTGTATTTGTCAACAGAGGTGTTGGAGAAACTCTGTTAGTGACAGCGGAATGCCTCTGTATGTTGAGTATATGTAGTACAGCCCACTACTACCAAACACAAAGGCATCGATTTGTATAAAATGATTTAAATTCAGATGTATCCCATATAAACAACATAGCTGAATGTCACAAACAAAATGTGCTAAACAAGCCAAACCAATGAGTCATTTTATATGACAAAACATTCCATATTAATCTATAGGTTTGTTTCATTTGTGATAATTACCAGGATGGATATATAGTAGGTATACTTTCTGTATGGATGTTAGATTTCAGTGAAATACTAATAAAATGTCTAAACAAAAACACACAAACACATAACTGCTAACAAATTCTGTCTCTATTTACCACGCTTAGGAATATGTGCTCTTCTGTCTTCCAAGGATAATTTAGAAAACACTGTACTTGAATAAATGTAAGCCAATACATGCATTTGTTAACTTGGGAACATCCCTCTAGTCTTCAAGCACTCCTCTCTTGATGTAGAAGGATCTACTTTTCACCTGCTCCACTGTAGTGGTGTTTTTAGAATGTCAAGAGTATTAGGCTAAACTTCAGTGCTGACTGAAACTATCTTTGGAGAAACAAAATGAGTCTTACACTTCTAGAAGCAAAAGTAAAGCACTCACCGACCCTTCCCTTGTCTTGCTTTCGGCCCTTTCAAGAGATTTTTGAGTTTTGGGTAAGCCTGCCTTTACTGTGAGTGAAATAGCTATCAATAAATGTAGACTATTCTAGAATGTTGGTGGGAGGGGAGTGGGGAAGCTGTGTGAATATGTAATAGTGCACTCTGGGGTATTTTCTCTATCATTATGGGAAAAGACATTCAAAAATTACTGTTTTCCTATAAACTGTTATGACATTGAGCACGCAGACCAGGTAATGATTTGCTGACAACTTCAAAATGTAATTTGCTGAAAACTGGCAGCAGGATACATTTTATTTACTGCAGTAATTCTTTGTCTACCATCAGAATGCAGAAGTAAGAAATCTTTCAGGGTACAGATAAGGATTGTTCCTTAAAATTCACCTTTGCTAAAGGGATGCTTATTCACTAGGGTTGCTTTTTTTCTTTTCTTCCTTTCTTTTTTTTCTTTGGTACCAGGAATCAAACTCAGGGCCTCATATTTGTTGGGCAGGAGCTGTGCCACTGAGCTACATCCCCAGGTCCAAAGTTGCTTTTTTATAAATGTGCTTAAAATATGTCCTGGTACTGTCAAGTTTAAATTTTTGTCTAGCTTGGTCTTTATTTTTGCTTTATAAGATATTTAGACTTAATCTACCACAGATGATAACAACTTTCCAAACCTAAATTTTTAGAAGAATATAAAAGATTGGGAAAAAGTGCTGTTTTTCAAGTTATGGAATATCATTCAAGTCTGGTTTTGATTAAGGCTACCAGTTTTCTAGGAATTGTGGTTTTTGTCAAATGAAGGTGAAAGGCACTGAATAAGCCTCTGGCTGGAGCTCTGGTTTGCTCTCAGAAGAGTGCAGAAATGCTCTTTGATGTCACCTACACAAATACATTAGCACATCAGGGGTAGGGCGAGTGAGGTACGCCTAGAGGTGGGTGTGCTTCCCAGCCCGTCATGAGCAAAGATGAGGGGAGGAGCACTTTAACTCTTTATGAATGAACATGATGCGCATTTTGTGTTGTATGCTGAATTCTCTATAACCATTGCAGGTTACATCTAAGCGTCTTTGTGTTTCTATTGAACAGATAGTTTTTGTGAGTTACATGAGATTATTTTAATTTCTCTCTTGGGCTTTAATACAGATTTCACAGCCTTCAGAAATATCAAGAGTGTTTTTGGATTTTCAGCCACTAATGAATGTTGCTAATTGTATGTCACTTCTCTTCCAGTGTGATCAATGAGAAGGTTTGGCACGTGTGTATTTCCCTGGCTTTTTTCATTTCTAGCATGATTACAGCATTCATTTTCTATCTTCTGTCTCCTCTAATTTTGTATTTGGTCTTGTAGATACGGCCCGAGAACTCCTGTGTCAGATGACGCAGAGTAAGTGGTTGTGCTCGTAGGATCTCATTAATTACTAGCCCACACTGCATGCTTCCCGTGCTCACCACTAATTGCAACGCGGCTCATGCTGCAGCAAGCTGAATGGCTAGCTGACTCGTGCAGCCAAGCGCTTGAACGTGGAGTGCAGAACGTATGTTTTGTGCAGGGAAGATGAATGAACAAGCAACCTCAGCGTGCTTCTAATACGCAGCTGGCGCTTCAAACTTAACATGTGCTTCTCCTAGACTGGGCATGTTGAAGTTGTTCTCGTTATGGCTTGGACATCGGTACCCCTTCTGACCACAGAATTATTAAAAGGGCATCTGCAGCTGTGCATTTAATTCTTGATATGTTGGGGCTTAGCGTTAACAATGAAGTAGTCATTGCCCTAGTCACTTTTTTTTTTCAAACTAAGAAAATAAACCCTAAACCACTAATTATGGATGCAGAAGCCCAAGTTCCTCCTAGGTTGGAATCGTATAAACTGTGGGATGCTTGAGGCTAAAACATTGGGGTTTTGTTCAAGTTTCTTGGCAGAGCAAGGGGTCAAGGATGTAAAACATGACTTGAGCTTCCTCTCCTGGCTACTTGCTGTTCATTCCTCTCAGAGATTTACTCTCTGCCCTGCACGCATATCCAAATTTGAGAAGAATACACACCTCTCATTTGTGACCACATTAAATCTGCTTCTAAAACGGATTTCCCAAAGTGCGAATCATTCTGCAACTGACCTACAAACAAAAAGTCTCCTTTGTGGCATACTAGCCTTCTCAGATTTGAGTAATCTGTGTTTTAAGAAACTAGATGAGTAGTTAATCCCCATTTCGGTAGTCTGCTGAGCCGGACATCTGTCCTGTCTGCAAAGGGGTTTTGTGTCCTGGTGGGAGGCCAAGCCACTGGGAGAATGAGCATCTGCCCTCGTTTTGCCTATGCTCTGTGTTTCAGCCTTCCCTTTTAGGCCATAGACTGAGGTGTTTATATACAAAGGGTGTAGAGCCCACAAATAGTATTTCCACTGATGACATGAAATTAGACACTCCACAATTAAGTATTTTTTCACATTGTGCTTTTCCCATGCTCAGTTCAAGATGGCGGTCTCTTTGGGTCGCCTGGCCCCGTTCAGTCAGGCCCTTTTGCCCAGTTCCGATGGGCAGTCTCTCACTGCCAGTTATCTGCACCCAAAATCTTGTGTCTCAAAAGCAAATTCATCCTGAACTTGACTGACTGCTCAGAGCTAAGTAGTCTGCAAAGCTGAGCCCTAGTTATTACTGGTAAAACCTGCAGTAGCAATATTTAACATTCCTTCAGGGGAGGATTGTATGAGATTGATAGGCAAAACACTACTTTGATTGGATGAGCAAAAACATTTTGATAGAATGGGTTTATTCTTCATCACTGCAAAGCTGCTGTTCAATTTGACTAAAATAGATCTCTGAGAAACTACAGGGTGGAAAAAGGAAAGCTGCAGTCAAGAGCTTTTGGATTTGGTGTGCACGGGAAACTGAAACCTCACCCCAGCAAATACAGTTTTTTTAAAGGAGGGAACTTCCTTCTCTCCTCTAAGTTTACAAAGTCCAGCCCTGTGGGACAAGAAGAGTTAAAGGAACTTCTTTCCCAGAGGTCTTATCTGGCAATATCCAAAGTGCCCAATTCCTGCTTGGAGTAAACACAACTTACATGCCAGGAGCAAAATAAAAAGCTGTTATTGGGACTTAATTTATTAAAGAGAAATCTATGTACTATTTTTAGTTAATTCCTGCATTCTCTTCCTTTTTCAAAATCTTTAAGGGCAATTATTGTCACTAGCTGATTTATTAATAATTGACATACTCTTCAAATACAGCCCGATCAAAAAAAAGATTGCCCTTGAAAGAGAACATAGGGCAGGGGCAGACCTACCACACAGGCAGACAGAAATTTCCATTTCAAGCCGGCCAAAATCATCCCTGAGGATTTCATTTCACCTTCTTGCCCTTTCCTGACTTACACACTCTTCCTCAGCCAGTATCCTCCCTACCAAAGTGTCTGTACCTTGGAGCAGCAAGAGGCCATTTTATTCTGAATTCCCTCGCTTTGCCTTTGGCCCAGAAGTGACGACCAAGGGTCCTCTGTGAAAATTTGCTCTCATCCCTCAAAAATGGCAGCCTAGTCTCAAGAGAGTCCCAAGTTCTTGTCCTAACAGCTCAGGGCCAAAGGTATTGGTGCTGAATAAAACGGTTAGGTTAAATCACTGCAGACCGTTCTGGAAGCTGGTCTCACAGGGTCACTCCAGCTCACCCATCCTCAGACCTGCACTTCTTCATTTGAGAGGCTGAACTCAACCTCTGCACTGAGGGACATTTCTAAATGGTGACTCAGCTCATTTTCTATCAAGTGTTGTCAATTCTCAACTTTCTCAGTTCCTTATTTTTGAGAGGACATACAGATATCACATAGTTTTGTTGTTTCTTTTTTGGCCAGTTGGCTGATACTTCTTTTAAATTTTTTTTTTTTTTGAGAAAAATAATACTTGCTGGTGTAAGAGAAAGCAACCAAGAGTTTTTCTTTTTAACCAACATTTGGCCTGCTTTGGGCCGAGCATGGTAGTCAGAGCTCCACGGGGGAGCCAACCTGGAAACCCACGCCACAGAAAGGCAAGCTGAGGCCTGTTCCTGGCTATCCAGGCCTTGTAGGAGAGTGCCAAATCTGGGGCCTTGGAAAAGCTGCCATTCCCATCCCTGGATTCCAGAAGATGACCTGGCACTGTGTTTGATTCAGTGCCCTAACCCAGAATCCTGGCCTTTAGGAACGATAGATGGCAAAGCCGAGGAAGGGATCTACTTTTGCTGCCAGTCTGCCTCCCACTTCCTGGATTATGTGAGGATTCTATAATCCTAGTGGCTCCAGCTACTTGGTGGCTTGGAGAGGTTTGTATCTTTTAAGGTCTTAGCAGAGATTATAAATTGCCTTAAAACATAACTGACGGGAGTAGATATTTTGAAGGTATTTTTTTTTGTTTTATTTTTCTCTTTTAACTAAGAGAGGAAGAGTGGGATGGATTTTGATGTCCTTCTGGTAGGCCTGGTTAGGTGAACATGAGTTTGACTTTTCTATCCAACTGTAAATTCCTAAGTCTTTCTTAAATAACATTAAAAAATAGCATAAAATAGGTGAGAAATTACAGTCTTTCTTCCCTTTTGAGGACTGTGGTTTATTTTTGTGTGAAGGCACAGCTGCTGAAATCAACACTACCCACTGAGTAGGGGTGGCAGCTTCTTACGGTGCCAGTAGAAGGCTCAGATCAAAATCTGTCTGTACAATTAGATCATTAGAAGGCTCTTGGAAAAGAATGATTACATGGGCAGCCTTTTAATTTTAGTTCCCTTAAATCTGACTTAAATCACACAACATCTGGAGGGAGGAGAGACGTAGGGACCATTCATGCAGATTTGCTCCAAGTGGGCTGCAGGGAGGGTGGGCGGACGCTGCCTGGGGCGTCCAGTGCTCTGTGCATGGGCTCCTACCAAAGAGCCACCTCGCCCAGTGTCTCTGCTGCTGCTACCCAGCGTCTGGCCGTGGGGCCTTGACTGCAGGCATCCCTGGTGATGTCTTGAGTTAGCTGCTGTCCAAGCACATGGCTTTTCTTTTTCTCTGTGTTAAGCCGGCTTCAGAAATAAGCTATCGCTGCTTTCTGTACCAAGTGGCTAACATCAAACTTTTAAAGGGCCTTCATCTCTTGAGCTTTGGATTGTGTAGCTCACTGGGCCCCAGAGATAGCAGAAAGAAAGAAAAGGGGAGGGGTAGAGAGGAAGAAAGAGAAAGAGAAAGAAAAGAAACGGGAAGCTCTTGGCTTCTGTTCACATGCTCCTGTAGCTGCCTCAGCTTGTGCTAAAACAGAGGTCTATGCAGGTTCTGGTGTTCCTCACCATGGGATAAGCTCCTATAGACTGTGCATTGTATGTACGACCTAAGAGGTTTAAAAAAAAATTGTTTTCTCTATCTTTTTTCATAAAGAGTAAATTCAGATATATCTTGATAAAAATTGAAATGATATATGTAAAGACATGGCATACATACTGCTTTATATACTTTATTCCTTACTCTTACTAGAAAATATCTTATTTTCTTGATTCCAAGATACCTCCAAAAAGGTACCTTCAGTTTCAGTCAGTTTTTCAGTCATTTTTACAGGAAATTTAAAAAAAAAAAAAAAAAGACTACATCAGACATACACATCATCAATTCCATGGTTCAATATAATTCAGTAGTTAAAGGATACATCTAAAACTAAAAAAAATATGAAGCAGTAGGCGTCTAAAGCCTAAGGCTCTGTTGGAAAATTAGAGAAATTGCCACAGAAACATTTACTGCAGTTGGGTTCCGCTTCACGGAACGCTGCCCCCTCCACAAATTCTCTCCCAGGCTCTCTACTTTTTAATTCTTATTTTTAAATATACTTCCATGCGAGAGGAGCCCGGGACTTTGAGCACCTGCCCTAGCTCTGCAGTACCTGGGTTAGAACGGCCGCGCACTGCGAGGCGCCTTGGCTTCTGCGGCTCCCGGCGCGGTGGCGCCCCCAGGCGGCGGAGCGGCCGCGCTCATCTCGCTTGCTTTTTGTTTTTGCTCTGGGCGCGCAGGAGCACGAGTATGTTTGACATGCGGTGTGAGGAGGAAGCCGCGGTGCTGCCGCACAGCAGGGCCCGCCAGGAGCAGCTGCAGCTGATAAATAACCAGCTGAGGGAAGAGGACGACAAGTGGCAAGACGTAAGTCTCGGTCGCGACCGCGTGGGCAGCGGGAGGAGATGGCCCGGCTGGGTGAGGGGACCTGCGCTGGGAGGGAGCCCTGAGAAGATCCCACAGGCGACACGGGAAGGGGACTGCAGCGACTTGAGGGTGGCCGGGAATGACAGGGATGCACAGTCGGCAAGTACCCTTCCTGGAAGCTCGGCCTCAAGGAGGGAGGGGGGCGGGCGAAGGATGCCTCTAGTGGTGACACGTAGGACCCCTGGCCACCCTGAAGGCGCACCTGGCTGCAGGCCCTGCTAAGGGCTTTCCCTGTGACCACCACCCACTGCTTCTAGTAACCAGGTAGCCGAGTGCAACAAAGTTACTTGCGCAGTCACAAAGCGATCGACCGGGAGAACCGGGATTCAAACCAGGGAAGAAGGGTGGAAGTGGCTGCTGGGGGCTTTGAGATTATTGTGTGCCTAGAGAAAAGAGCTAATGCTGGGTGAGAGCTTGAAATTAGGGATGCGAGGTGGCAGAGTGGGTCGTTTTGTTTAATTCTCACAAAACACTCAGATAGCTATTGTGCATCTGACATGACCATTTGTCAAGATAGTTGACTTCTCCAAAGTTGATACAATGCTGTCATAACAAGTGTGTCTATGATATATTGAACACTTACTCTGTGCCTGGCACCTACTGTAGAATGACACTGAAACTACAGGCTTGTTAACAGCAGTGCCATTACCATTCCCACTTTCCAGATGAGGAATCTGAGGAATAGAGAGGCTAGGGAACACCTCCGAGTTTCCAGCAACTAGAAAAGGTAGCACCTGGTTATTTCCCACCACTCCACGTCCATCTGACCCCAGAATCCCCACCAAGCAGCATTAGAACTCCCTGTCAACTTGCAGTGAGGTTGTTCTAGAGGCCACATGAATGAATACATATAGAATTAATGATTCTATAAGACCCCCTTTTCTCTGCCTTTACTTCTAAGAGGAAACTAAATCTCTCTCTGCCATTCTATAATTAACAGCCCTACTTACAATGCAGAGGTGATAACTAGGGGAAAATGAAGTTTCCTACGATTGCCTTATGAAGCAGTTCTCTAAAATTTAGCAAGTGCCATGAAATTTGATTGCATGCTTCATACTGCTCTTGTTTTTTTTTTTTTTTTTTTTTTTAATAAAATGCTGTCCTGCTCTGGCTCGTGTGGATAATATTTGAGTATTTCCTGCCTTTGAGATCCTTGGGCCAAACAGAGTTACGCTGGACTATGTGGGGATGCCAACCAACCCTCTTCAGGGTTCACTAAACTCTAAATCTTAGAAATGGAATTACGTGCAAGCTGCAGAATATTCTGTGTCCCCTCCCGCAGGATCTGGCTCGTTGGAAGAGTCGGAGAAGAAGTGCTTCTCAGGACTTAATCAAGAAAGAGGAAGAAAGGAAAAAAATGGAGAAATTACTGGCTGGGGAAGATGGGAAGGGTGAACGAAGAAAAAGCATCAAAACCTACAGAGAAATCGTTCAAGAAAAGTGGGTCCTTTCTGTTATTTTTAATGTACAGTATCTAGATGTGCTTTTCCTTTAAAATATTGGTCATGACAGACCCCGTGACACCAGTATCTCACTCTCTTGGTTGAGATCTACCTTGGCTCCCACTAAGGTCTTCTTTGCCATTTCTGTGACTGTTGATCTTGTCCTTGCTCCTCCTTCCCTGCCCCATCCCCTAGGGAGCGGAGAGAGAGAGAGTTGCACGAGGCGTACAAGAACGCACGGTCCCAGGAAGAGGCAGAGGGGATACTTCAGCAGTACATCGAGAGGTTCACCATCAGTGAGGCTGTTCTTGAGCGCTTGGAGATGCCAAAAATTCTGGAAAGAAGCCATTCAACAGAGCCAAACTTATCCTCCTTCCTGAATGACCCCAGCCCCATGAAGTACCTGCGGCAACAGTCACTGCCTCCACCCAAATTCACTGCCACTGTTGAGACCACCATTGCCCATGCCGGTGGTCCAGATGCCAGCGTGTCAGCAGGCAGTGGGTCTCCAAGCAAAACTGTCACCCCTAAAGCAGTACCTATGCTGACCCCCAAGCCTTACTCCCAACCCAAAAACTCTCAAGAGGTTCTGAAGACCTTTAAGGTAGGAGGGGTTCTTTAAGAGTAGAACCAAAACTGAACTCCAGGTGGTCAATAGAAAGCATGCTGGCTCAAGGAAATGCCATCATTTTTGCCAAACAAAAGCCAAATGTGTTAACATAATGGTTTATCTTGGGGTCCTGGGAGATTTGATCAGTAAATACTTCAGGAATAGATGATCCTCAGTTACTGTTCTTGATGCCCCTGGACCCCAAGGAGGTTGAAACTTGAGTCATTTCCATTAACAAGGTCTGTTTTCTAGTTTGGCATAGTGACATGGTCTCTGTACAGTAGAGGGAAGAAGCCCTAATTCAGTAACACCCTAGTATTTTTTCAGCTATCTGGAGGTATACAAAGTTTTTAAGTACTTTTGCTTTACATAAAAATATGTACAGCTACATCTCTTTTAGGAAGAGATTGACATCATATCCAGAAAGAGGTTACAACTGAAAAAAAAAAAAAAAATACAAGAACACATGGAAACATGGGATGTACTTGGGCCTCAGATGAGGACCAAAGTTTTTTTAAGTGGAAACAGGCTGGCTTGTTTTACCAGTGAATGTGTAAAAATAATGCTCCAGAATCAAAGAACTTTTGACAGCCAAACATCTTTTTTCATCCTCAGATTCCAGTCTTTTCCCTTTTGTAGTGAGGAGACTTTCATCCCTTGTCTTAAGCTCTTTTGACTTTAAAGAAAAATCAGTTTACATTGTCCTTGAAGATTGCGGGTGTTTATAATAGAAGACAGAGGTGGAATTGGTCTTTTTAGGAGATGTGACAGTTTTGACTGTAAGAATTTTATGTGGCTCAACTAATAGAGCTGCGTGATGTTCCTTTGTGAATTTCACAGGGAATCAAACAGAAGTTTCTGACTTTTGCTTAAATGATTCTGACCACAGGTTTTTAAGACCTGTGTCTTAAGCTATGACAAGACTGAAAAGATATTTCAGCTGTCTCTTCTGGATTAGATTGAAATGTCAGTCCCTTCCAGGGAAGGGACTGTGTCTTTGCGCATTACGGCTTCATCCTAACAGCTTGGCAGTGGTGACAAGGACATGGGAGGCCTTGCATTTAGTGCATAAACTAATGATTTTTTCCCTGAGATGAGCTATGGACTGTGCAAACCGTGCACACACATATGTCCCCACACCTAAAGTGCTCAGTGGTCCACCTAAGTATTCGTCTACTTCTTTTATGGGGACCCATGATAATGAGTGGCCTGTGACATCCCACCAAGGAAATTTTTATGTTGAGGTGGCCCTGAACAGGGAGAGGTAGGAGGTCCCTTTATTTAACTGAGGTATATGATCTGATCATTTAGATAGCTGTTTCCCTTTCTGTATGTAAAGAGTGCACTGTGATTATTTATCCTGAAGAGTTACAGTAAATGACTGGAGGATAAAACTCAGACCGAAGGAACCTCTGTCCTTCTACATCGGTGCTAGAGGGTGTAGAGGCCTCAGAACACCATTGGAAGGATGGGAGGAGTTGGGAGCCGGGGAGAGGTCTTGGAGCTGGAGCTCATTCTTGGCTAATGATTGTCTTCTGGACCCATCACTGGCCTTGGTAGCTGTCGCTTCTATTGCTAGCTTATAGCTGCATCACTGAGGGGCTGATCGGAGGGCTGTGGTCAAAGGTCTTAGGTAAGCAAGGCGGTAGCTCCCAGGAGATGCCAGCAGGGAAGCTGAGGGAAGTGTGTGTGTGTGTGTGTGTGTGTGTGTGTTTGTGTGTGTGTGTTCTTGGGGCCAGCGGAAGGCAGTAAATCCTGCACATGCCAGTTGTTTCTCCAGGACAACAGAACTAAGAGTGAGGGAAGCACCCAGCTCATTGAATCCCATAAGTGTCCCCCATCTTAAGGGAAAGTGTAGGACTCTAGTCCCAGCCACTTGGAGGCTGAGGCAGGGGGATTTCATGAACCTGGGGATTCAGGACCATCCTGGACAATTTAGGAAGACTCTCATCTCAAAATAAAATAAAATCCACACTACATTTTTTAAAAGCTTAAGCCAGTACTTTTCAAAATAAGAGTTGCCACCAGTTGCTACATTATTAAGTCATTTTAGTTGTTCAGAATGGGCTTTTTTAAAAAAAGATGTATTTGTTATAGGGTCTCACTATGCAGCTCAGACTCATAGTGATCCTCCTGTTTCCTGTCTCCCCAGTTCTGGGATTATAGGCATGTCTACCACTCTTGGACTTGGTGACTGGCTCAGCACACCTGGGGACAGGGCCAGTGCAGCATGTGGGACCAGGGACCAAACCTCGGTCCCTATACTTGCCTAACCAGGTGCCTAGTCTGCTGAGCTATCCCACCAGCCCTGGGCATTTTTTAAACAAATGAAATGGAATGGATTAAAAACAGCATACTGACCACACACAATAAAGATATATATTGTGTTGGGAAACTTCCGTTTTAGGAATATGTACTGATTTGTGATTTTCAAAATTATGTGGGTAACACGATAAAGTATGCACAGCCAGTGGCATGAGGTAAACAAACGATAGCTGATTCTTATGCTTCCATTACTTTTTTCTAAAGATTTTGGATGCACAATAAGCTAATATTTGAGTTCCTAAAATGTGCCAGATTCTGTTCTCGACAGTGTATATATCACAGCTCCAGATAACAGCAAAAATCTCCCTGAGAGCTCTATGAGGAAAAGACTAGTAGGGTTTACATCTGACCAGAGAGGAAAAGCCAAGCTTGGCAGAGGCCGTGCTGCTGCCGAGTGGCAGTGTTCAGATTCGAAATCTTAGCCCACCGCACCATAAGCCCACTCTTGCAAATCCTGCTCACACTGCAAGCAGAGATTTCTAGACACCTCGCCAGGCTGACCACACTCTCTGTTGCTCCTGTCCTGCTCTCATCACCTTCCCCTGACCTGAGTGAAAAACAAAGATACTTTGACATGCGTCTCAAAGAAACTGAGCTAACGAAGTTAACTAGAGAAGGGGATTTATTGTTGCATGGCACAGAGTCGGAGGCCCTGCTTCCATGATAGTGTCAAAGAAAGTACCCATTGCCTCCGCTACCACCATGTGGTAGAGTCCAAATTGTGGAGTAGCAGTTAGAACTTAAATAAGATCACTACAACCTCCACACATGGCATGTGATGGTATTTAAGATTCCTTGGTTTTCTGTACTTAAAAATAAAAGCACACCATAAATCAGGTGAATGTAAAGTATAATCTAATAGTGAGGTGGCCCAGCAGCCTTTTAAACATATCCTTAAAGATGGCTTTTATAGAAGCCCTGACTTCTAAACCCATGAAAACATTTGCGAGAGCTCGTTCTTTGTCAGAATGTGATTACTTAGCAGCAGTGCTCTTAGGTAAATCTGGGTGTGTTACTTTGTCACTGTCGTTGGTTGTGGAATAGCATGTTTTGTTCATTCTGGCTTTTACAGGTAGATGGCAAAGTCAGCGTGAATGGAGAGACAGTCCATGGAGAGGAGGAGAAAGAAAAAGAGAAGCCTGCAGGGGCACCTGGCCCCTCCTTGACCAAATCCCAGGTGTTCGAAGGCGTGGCCAGAGTGCACGGGTCCCCAGTGGAGGTGAAACAAGGCAACAACAGCATTGAGATCAACATCAAGAAGCCAAATCCTGTTCCCCAGGAACTGACAGTAAGAGCCACACTTTTTCACCCCTCTTGGGGATAATTGTCTCATGGAAGAATAGTTTTTGAAATATGTAGAGTATGCCAAAGATGGATTCATCTACATGGAAAGATCAGTTTCCAAGAGCTGCCACAACAAAGGGCTGCCCACTACATGACTAAACAAAGGAATTAATTATTTCATGGTCCTGGTGGTTAGAGATCCAAAGCAAGGTGTTGGCAGGATCCGCTCCTTCTGCTGGCTGAGGAGAACCTGCTCCCAGCTGCTGTCCTCACTGCCCAGCCAGTCCTCCCGCTCCACAGCATGCATCATCCCAATCTCTGTCTTCACTGGCGCAAGCTGTCTTCCCTGTAGGTGTGTCTGTGGGCAAGTTTTCCCTTTTATGATGACCCCTACTCCGGGTCATTACTCATCTTAACCAATTACATCAGCAACAGCACTATTTCCAAATAAGTTCATGCTCTGAGGTCCTAGGGACTTTGGGGAGACATTTCAAAGCATAACGATGGGCTCTAATTAAAGATAATGCATTTTGTGAACAAAAACTGACTTTTTCTTACCTTCATATTATTGTTCTCAACTTCCCTGGTGGTCTAGTGGTTGGGATTCGATGCCTTCATATTACTGGTCTCTGGGGTTATAGAAAAAAATGAATCTTTACAATGCTTTTTCTGCTTGGTCAGGACCTCATTAGACTTGCTAATACAATTTGAAAATAACTGGTACAAACAGAACCTGATTTTCTATTTTTGATCATATGTATAAAAGGGTCTTTTTCTCATTAGTTAATAAGAGAAAATTCATTAAAAGTAAAAGTAATTTTTATTAGCTTATCCCTTTAAATTCAAGTAATTTAAAGCATTAAAAGACTGCCACATTGCCAAGCTGAGAAAAGGATGGTGACTCTAGAACACAGAGCTGAGAACTCTACGTCACATCTGGCACTGGGGGTACATCACTGGGCAGATTATACTTTCTTGGATTTCTCACCAGAGAGACTCATGCTGGTTGTATTGATCAAACCCAAAGTGTCACTGCCACAGACACAGCCCAGCTTTCGGGATTCAGGCTGGATACTGTTCAACCTCCCTTGTCTTCAACTGAGGCCAACTTCCTGCCATTTTAACTTCTACCATTTGAATTTGTGTCTTGGGTGAAGGGTGGGGAAAGCTGTTGAGATTTCTGCTCCAGCACTTGGAAAAATTTGGTCCCCAAGAAGAGTTGTCTTTCAGTTCCAGAGCTGACGGTTGGGTGACCCAGCTGGCTAAAACCCCTGCAGGGGACAAGTTGTGAATTTTCTCATGGCTGGGATTTATGTTCTGAAGAATAAAATAGCAGTTTTAGAGGAGGTAAGAGGATGTCATCTTTATCACAGTGCCCAATGCTTTATGAAAGAGATTCAAGTGGAAAGCACACCAAATTCCTTACCACAGTAGCCTGTCTCCTCATCTCCAGGAGAAATGTTTTGTGCCCCGGGCAAAAGCTGAGTCTTTCCCCGCCAACTGTAATTTTACCTTTAATTTGTATAAATCTGACTACCTTTGAAGAGTTCTTACAGATTGTTCTTGGGAAACTGAATACTGAGTTCTGCTAACAGTATGGGAACTTAACCGGTGGAATGAACATTAACATCTGCTCTTAAATTTAAACTAGAAGTGCCCTAAATTAATTAGACATTATAGGGATATAATTGCTTTTCTAAATCATTCATTCTTCCCTTATTTCATTTTTGCCATACTTTAGCTTGAGTGTTTTCTAAATTCTCTTCATTGAAAAAGACTTTATCAGGCGTGGTGGTGCTCACTTGCAATCCCAGATACGCGAGACTGAGATAAGCGAACCTCAAGTGCAAGGCCAGCTGGCCAACTTAGAAATACCTTCTCTCAAAACAAAATTCAGAATGTGCTGGAAATATAGTTCACTGGTGGAGTGCTTGTTTCACATACACAAAGCCATGGGTTTGATTCCAAGGACTAGAGGGAGAAAAAGATTTCACAGTAAATACTGCCCAAAGTAGCTTATTTTAAGAAAAAGCAAAATTCCATAATCTGAAAGGATCTGTGTTATTTCAGAAGCACACGCACTATGACAAGGAGGGATCCAAACAAAAGATAACCATTTAGACAGCCTCAGGATGCCAGCCTAAGCTCATAGAAAAGTCCATGACTCTTCTTTCTTCCTTGGCATAGTTGCCAGGCTGGGAGTCTGCTCCAGTTCAGTAAGCCCTTACGGCTCTGATGGGTACCACAATAGCTCCTCGGCCCTGTCTTTACTACTTTGGGCTCCTAAGCTAATGAAGGCAGGCGCTGCTAACTTACATTCTGGGTTGGTAACGATCTCCATCTATCAGGCCAGAAGCAAAGTTGTTAGTTGTGCTCTGTGGAACTTCAGCTCATTACTGAAGCTCTTCACCCATGCGATTTAAGACACCCAAAGTTTTCCCTCTTACATGGGCTTGTGCCAGAAGTCATTCTAAAGAAGTCACTTTTCCAGTAACCCACTCCTCAATTTACTTCCTCCTCCTTTATTCCAACAAAAGCTTTCCTTAAGAATGCTACAGCCAGTGTATTTCTGTTGGAAAGGTGGAATGAGTTGATTATGGCAGACATATACTGACCAGCTTGAAACGGGAGGCTCAACTCCAAAGGCTCCCAGGGAAGGCTACCAGCTTGGACGTGGCTTTGCTATTTCTAACTCATATACCCAACTGTCAAAGGAATAGTGTTCTTCTTTTTAAATAGGGTCTTTCTTCCAAAAACTGCATTCCCAACTGACATACTCTCTACAGAGGAGTAGCCTCACCCACCACTGAAATGTCACAATTTCTCTAGGGTGAGCTGGAACTGTTCGGAAGGCACAGCAGCAGCAGCAGTAGACAGGAGAATTCATTCAGAATGTGAGCGAGGGCAACAGAGCAGGCAGACATAACAACCCCCCCCACACACACGCACACAGGGCAGGAGACGTAGGCAGGTCAGCCTCTGAGGTTCACAGGAGCACTTCTCTGACATGTCATTGCATTAGTTCCCTTCTACCGCATCTTTGTCATTGGACACTGTTAGGACCATAGTTTTCTTCTGGTTGAAATAAATCCTGTACTAGGATTTTGGTTTTTTATATTTTATATTTTATTCTTGCTGCCCTACCTCTAAGGAAATGAGATTGTAATAGCAACTACGCTAAAGTTCTGTTCCTGCTGAGTGTGGTAAGTGCCTGCTCATAACTGACAGATGAACCCTATTTAAAAAAAAAAAAAATACATTTTAGGACGTTATAAACTTGCTGACAAGAAAAATTCTCTTAAAGGAACTGGAAAAATATATAAAGCAATATATAATTAAATAGATTATAGAGTAAGTAGGCCAAAGGGATGTATTAGATTGCAAGAACAAGAAAGATCATTATAGGTTGGGTGTGGTCTGGGAAGGTGTGTGGGCTGCAGGTTTTGAAACTTGACCTGAAATGTAGGATTTGCATGAGAATGGAGGTGGGGAGGCAGGCAGTTCCCTGTGTTGGAATAGCAGGGTGGAAGGCGTGGGCATAGTCAGGCTCTCATGAGAGGACCCAGGGGGGCTGAGATATGGTGAGCATGACCGGGGGCTATCCATTAGAGGACACAAGCTTGGTTTCTGCCCTCCCAGTTAGTTACCCATAAAATTGTTCAGCGCCTTGGTCATGTCACCATGTGGAAGCCCAACATTTTGCTTTGCATTTGAAAATAGTGGCTTTTGTTAGACAATCCTCTCACACCACAGATGCAGAATTCTAGGATCCAGGGTTGGGAAGAGATTCAGAGGTTCCTCTAGTTTGAGGACATCTATCCTGAGTTTAGGTAGACCACAGAAAGAAATCTGTGTCTCCCTTGAAGCTTCCCCATGTTGTCTCGGTCCACTATTGGTGACATTTATATTTGAGTCTATTCTTCCTCAGTGATGCACAAGTGAGCCTTTCCTAAAATACCTGAAGTATCCCATGAACCAGCATCCAGCTCCATTTGAACGAGCGAAACTTTTTGAGGCTTGGTTTATATTTTAGTCACCTTTTCATCACTGAGATGCTATCGCTGAACCAGTAACTTAAATGAGGAATTTGCCTTGGCTCACATTGCACAAGCTCCAGACCGTGTTCGATAAGCTTAAACACAAAAACAGCGTGCTGGAAGGACGTGGGCAGAGGAAAGCTACTCTGCTCATGGCAGCCAGGAAGCAGCGGGAGGAAGGGAGGAGCCAGGAGAGGAGACACGCCCCCGCAGGCCCCAGGCCCCGCCCCTTCGGCCCAGACCTCACCTCCTAACAGCAAGTCCCCTGTATCATCCGGAGGTTCACCTTCCACAAGCCCTGACTCTCGCTGCGTGAGGCCTTCTGAGGACATCTTGATCTAAACCCTAACGTTGATGTCAAGATTGTTATCCAACGAAGGGACGAAAAAGGGTCTTTCTCTTCAAGGGCCAAAATGGTGATAGATACAGATTTTTTTTTTTAATTAAAGTAAGAGCATCAACATTACTGTATGGAACTATATAAATTTCAGATGAATCAGATGACTTTCTTGCCATCTTCCTGCTTCATTTGTCAGTTGTCCCTGCTGTAATTCTGTAAAAAATATACAGATGTGAAGTGCTTTCTCCAGAGGTAGCTGCCTTTGCAGACTCTCATGGGACTCCTCTGGCAGCTCTTGTGCTCCTTCTGTCATCTCCCTCCATCCCTGAGGCTCCCAGGCTGCCTCAGACAGTGACCCTGCTGCCGTTCCATGTCTGTTGGTTGGCCCCTTTCACCCAGTCAGCCCAAAGGACAGAGCCACCCTGTGCCTCTTGGCCAGCACCTTCCAGCTGGGGTGCCCCAAATCTTCCTCCTTGGACTGAGCCAAACTCAGCTCATGGATATGTAAACCACTTCATCTGCTTTACGCAAACTAAATAACAAGGTAGATTTGTTTTTCCAATCTCAAAAAAAAAAGTCCATGGCCTTCCTCTTAGAAATTCATCACTTTTGTGTTTTCTGATCCAG